CGGACCACTGGTATACGATAATGGAACTAGTCTTCCATTTTATAACCAAATCTGTCTTGAACAGATAGGCTAAGTTTTTTTTTAATCAAAGTTTCTTAACACTTTTTAATTATATCCAATCACTTTAACAAGTTTCATCGCAGAAACATTAGAGAACATCTCTCCCCCCTTTTGTGAAAGCTTCCCCCCCCCCCGACCCCCCCTCTTTCCTCCCTCTTTTTCTCACTTTCTTTTTTTTTCTTTTTTTTTTCAGGTCTTCGAGTTTTCCAACAGATAACAGATAATCTAACCAAACCAAACCAAACCAACGACTACCATTCGACTACCAATCAACAAGAAATACCATGATCAGAACGAGTTTGGAAGAATGAAGGAGACCGAGTAACTCACGCCACACCATCCAGGGCCGAGTTTCACCGCCATGTCATTCGACCCGACCAGATCTAACGAAGAATCAACAACCAAACCAACAACACCGAATCATCCAATTTGATCCAATCCAACTACCAACTACTACGACTACCAACAACTACCTAGTTTGCGATATCAGCATCCGCTGGAAGCGAACGTTAACTTGTCATCTACCAACCAACCAACCTATCCCTATTGCGTGTTTGTTTGTACCAGGTGGGTGCCGAAACTATACAACTTAACTATTGGCGCCTCTTGCCGAGAGTGTGACATGTTCACCTTTCATCTCAATATCAGACCGATATCAAACCAATCAAATGACGTTATTCTAATACATTGTATATTACTCCACCGGTTGACCTTTTTTAAGTTTTTTCCAGTTAATTTATTCATCATTAGGTGGAAATGGATCTTTCCAATTCAAGTTTATGTGATAGTAATGTAAATGTAATAGAATTTGAGAAATAAATCTGATTACTTTGGTCGTGTGAACTACTCAAATTGAATTCACATCTTTAAAAGCTGAAGGGGGAACATTGATTTCTAGTATAACATATAGGAATAGATTTATATCTTACCTTGAACAAAGATAATAATAATGTAGAACAGAGTTAACAATAGAATATTGATGTTATACATTATTCCGTTTACAGTTTGATGTAACATGTATGTAAAATAAATTATATATAATATTCTACTGGTGGACAAGGAAGTAAATAATACGTTTTTAAATTGTATATAAAAAAGCTTTAAAATCCAAAAAAGGTATACCAATTATGTAGGCCTTTGTCGTTACTGTAATATTATAGTTTTACAGTAGATTAAATCTTTTGAATTTGACTATAACTTTATGCATTTTATCTTTATACTCATTGGGGTTTCACATGACAACGAGGCGGCTATAATAATTTGAAAATACCAAACGCGATTATTACTTATTGCGCTCGTTGATTCTGGCTTAAAGAAGAACTTCTTGGAATGTGGACAAATGACAATACAAGAAACAGACTCATGATGGGTATCAGATCAGATCAGATCGGGACACAAATAAGACATTTTCCAACAAATCTAACTCGCATCTCATTGAGCGGGAGTCTGATTGATGTCAGATTGGTGTCAGATAATGTCTATTCCAACTCAATAGAATAATGGTGGTTGACAGAATCTGTATAGAAAATTCCTGCAACGTACATCATGTGGGATCTTACAAAATATTTTTCAGTGGGAATAAAAGAGATATGTAAACATTAACTTCTTAATTTAATCATATTGAATGTAAGCATATAAAATGATAGAAGGTTTAAATGATCTGAACATGATAATATGTTTTATTTTAATCTTTTTAAAGTTCACAACTAATCCATTATTCTGGTCAAATGCTAATAAAATAGTGAAAGAAAGAAGATTATCAACCAAGTATACCAACTTGTTATACCAGATGATGAAGCTGAAAATAAAATACAAAATTTTTTTTTAGAAAACATGATACCCTCCTTTACTTTCATAAACATTTATATTATTTAATAATGTATTGTAAATTCACCAAACAAATAAACTACTCAACACAATATAAATTGTTTCTACTAGGGACGAGTAAAGTATTCTTACTATTGTTGGTATAATTATATTGTTGATATCATTTTTTGTGAATTTCTAGGTTAATATTTGACTATTATTACGAATTTGATCTTCCGTATAAAGATATAAAGTAAAGGTAGGTTGATTTTAAAAATAGATAAAGCAAGAGAAATGTACTTACACGTCGTAAGAGATAATAAAAAGACAGTTTTAACTGTATGGTGTCCTGGTAGATCAGCTATACATCTATATGGTATATCAGATTGCTCATCTTTAATTAATACAGATAGTATACCTTCTGAATTCCCAAAACCTTCAATAACAAATGAAATCTGTATCTTAAATCGTAAAATACTGTACGCTATTAGTCGTATCATTTGAATAATCTGTTCATACAATAGTATTTTATGTTGTCAAATAGACGAGACACTGCGTCCGGTGCGTTCTAAGATTATTGATACAGTAGAAATACAGGGAATGAATCCGGATGCGGATATCATTGGTTACTTCTAATTTCTAAGGTATTGTCATCACCACACCTCATAACGCACCAGACATCATACCTCTATTCGAACCTTTCCAAGTTACTGTGGTGATGGATCAAACATATGAAGCCTACCGTTTTCATCGGTTAATTTTTTTAAAGTTTTTGAAGCCTTTATTGTCACATCTGCTATACCGTGAAACCATCTCAAGTCTGCTGGTGGTCTGCTGTGGGTTGATCTACATATTAAGGCCACTGCTGTACCAGCTGTAAACGGCAAACTTCCGTCATATG